AATGGGACAATGGTCGAAGAGACAGCTGTCGTTTGCAAATGGTTGTCCCTAAAGCTAAAGTGCCGAATGTTCTACAGTTGTGCCATAATGGTCGTTCAATAGTCCATCTGGGAGTTAAACGAACTCTACTGAAGGTCCGAGAACAGTTTTACTGGGTCCATTATCGTGACGATGTCGAGGATTGGTGTCGTACATGTACAAGTTGTGCGGCCGAGCGGGGACCTCGGACACGTAGTAGAGGAGCACCGAAATTGTACAATGTTGGTGCACCACGGGATAGGACAGCCCTTGACATTGCGGAGCCGTTACAGAAAGGCGCAAGAGGGACTCCTAAGATCGTCCATGTGAATCGCTTGGCGCGTTATTATGGGGCCGATAATGCTCGGGACGAGCATGTCTTAGGAGGGGGCAGTGTTACGCGCTCCAGTCAACGATACACTAGCGCCATCTAGTGTCAGGAACGAGAGCGAGGGGAGTATTGAGAAAATGACATCACAAATTACTCAACCGACAGCGCCTAGTCGAAACTCGAACGCTCGGTACCTTGCCCGTGTTTACTTGAACATTCTGGATATTTCTTTGTTAATTTAAATATATAGGCGCTGCAAGATGCGATGGAGGCAGTGTTGATTTGGGCGAAACAAGCGAAGCTTCGGAGTGGAATTAAGTGAATTAATGTGTTTAAATTATTAGTGTTTTAACTTTAATTGTGTAAAGTAAATTAAAGTGTTAATTTAGGTAATTTTATCGGCAATTTTTATTGTCACGAACCTCAAGCTCGTAACAATATAATAGATTAAGTTGGCCATTGCATGAAAACACAATGTATCTCATAAGTAATACATATTATATTAAATTAGATTGCTTAGTGCGATTGCCAAGTTAATCTATATATTTAAAACATAAAAGTTTTTTTAACATTGATCTGATCAAGATTATTTGTGTAGCCAATGAAAATTTTGAAACAATAAATAAGTAGAAATATTCCAAGAAGATTATTGTACTAACCTTTTAGAGAAGTCCACGCATTTTTGGAAAACATCAGTGTTTTCGAAACTGGTTGAGACTTAAAATTACTTTTTTATTAATAATATGACATGTGCTTTGATGTTGTGATGTTGTCGAAATAATACTATAAGTTGAGAGATTTTACAATGACGGTCCGGTCATTGTAAAATCTCTCAACTTCCCTATGCTTCTTTCAACGTGAACTCTTATAGCAGCGATTCTCTTTGATGCAAGAGTTCCTCTGCTGTAGGTTTTGAGTTAAAATTCACACCAGGCGGCACACATAGTGTCGCGGCATCACATTTACTGGAGCAACCACGTTGTTCCAGTAAATGGGAAATGTTTTTGAAACCCCTGTCAGTTAACACAATGTTTTCTTGTGTCAATTTGTCAATAAATCCGCTGTCTTCAAATATTGTTAAGTTTGGGGTTCTCCCTTCATATCTCTCAGAGATAAAGTTTATCAAACCGTCAGGTGTAATTGAAATCAAGTACTTAATGATATTGCACCTTTCATGTTGAGACCATGTAGCCGATTGGTGTGAAGCGTTCTGTATTTTCGAGATGTAAGTGCTGTTAGCCCATGCGGCTCTAACAGCTTCATCTGACTCATCGAGCGCTTCTCGAATTTCGAATTTGAATTTCGAAACAATCAATTATTGAAATCGCTTTAGAATGGCGCTTCCTAAAAGCTATCGGCAAGTTTCCCCTGACATCGTCTGCTGATGGCCAGATAATAAGCCGATTCAGGCACAGTGCTACTTTTGGGAGTTTTATTAAAATATTTAGTCACAGAACTCTCAGAGAGGCCAAAATATATTGCAAGCATTGAGTTTTGGTTCCATCGTATTTTTTGTAAAGTCACTAGGATTTCAATAGATATTTCCATGAAGTTTAATAAATGTTTAATACAAAAGTATGAATGGGCAGGAATGCCTATCAGTAATATTGGATCTCGAGATATAGCCATTAGAGCGCCCTAATAAATTCGCGCCTAAATTATTCGACTCGTTATCACTAGCATTAACAACAAAATAATGATTAATTTCACTTGAGTTTGAGTTGCTGATCCTGAAGCTAACGTTTGGATCAAGATTTTTAGGGGCTATTTTAACATCCCGCTAAGAAAATTAAAAATTTTCTAAAGTAGAGAAGTTATTGGTTTCACCCCGATTTTAAAAATCGAGTTTTCATCATATCTCGACGTTTTGAGATCCCAGGAAGCTATTCTGACTAATTTCACGTGGACGTCCGTACGTCCGTAGTTATGACCTTTCATAACTTTTGAACATCTTGATCGATTGTCATGCATTGCGGCGTTCTAAAGATCTCAATGTGGAATAAATTTGGTGATAATATGAATTGATTCGGACAAGTAGATTTTGAGAAATCTCAAAAATAAAATATTTGAAAAACTGTTTTTTTTTTTCGAATAACTTTTAAACGGCTTTACCGATCGATTTCAAAAACTAATCAGCTCTTAACCTCAAAACATGACGTCGAATGCCGTTTAGAAATTAAAAATCGGTTTATTCGTTCCTGAGATATCGAAGGAGAAAGAGTTTGAAAAAAAAACGTTTTTTTTTTGTAACATAACTTCGAGATTTCGCAACCGAGCAAAGTTGTGCTTATTACATTATTTGTATATGTAGAATTTAAAAAACTGCGTCGAATGCCGTTTTAAACATGAAAATCAATCTGACCGTTCATGAGATATCGAAGATAAATTTTTTTTAAAAAAAAGATCGTTTTTTAACATAACTTCGAGATTTGCCAACCGAGCAAGTTTGCGCTTTTCATATATTTTTTTTAAATTACTCCGATATATCATATTCAATGTCATAATTTGGTGAAATTTGGAGCGCTCTTGCATTTGAAATTAGCGGGAAGTTCTAGGGATGGCTTGCAGGGTCAACCAATTTTTTTTAACTAAAAGTTGTTTCGATTTTATTGGCGTATTTAGTTTTCATTTTTGGTTTAATATTAACCCGCACTGCTTGTGTTTTTCGACTTCTTTCAATGCTTTTTTTATAATACGTCTATTTCTTCAGGTATGTTAAGGGGATCAATGTATTGGATGATATTTGAGTCTTGATTTTCACATTCTACTACTTCAATGGAATGCAACAACGGGTCTTCGTGTCCAATATCTCTACTTAAAACTCTTTCAAAATGCTCTGTCTTGTCGTTTTTTAAAACCGGGTCTGTCAATTTTCTTTTATTAGCTTTTGGATTTTGGCATTCAAACTTATGAGGCAAAACTCCCTTTTTCAGTTTAAGCTTTCCTCCAACCAATTTAAACTTTATATAATTTTCCATATCTTGTTCCAACTGAAATATAAAAATGCATATAAGTATTTACTTCTTACAATAAAGCATAACTGAGGCAGATACATAAATGCACCGCTGTTGTGTAAATGATAAAAAATATATTATCATTCAATTATTGCTTTTTACCCGAGTACGTTCCTGTGTCATTGTTTTGGCCTTGGAATACGAAATACGATGTTTTACACATTAACAGCTGAACCGATTTTGACGACTCTTGGTATAGAGATAACAGATCTTTAAATGGATATAGACTACTTTTTATCGCAAAAATAAAACTTTAATGGGATGAAATAGAGGTGAGATAAAAAAACTTTCGGTGGGTATATTGGCATAGTTGCCACGCTTGGCGAGCGGGTTGGCAACCGCAGTTTTTTTTTCTTGTACAGTTGCTGTTATCAGGAAGATGCTGCTGCCCATTTCCTGCCTGTTTCGGCGACACCCACGGGAAGATATGGGGTAGTGGATATTCTTAACCGCCACTACTTGGGGGAGGCTTATGTCCAGCAGTGGACTTGTGAAGGGCTATAATGATGATGATGATGAAAAACTTTCGGTGACAAACAGACAGCTGGTATTACATAGAAATGGAAACGGGCGAATAGGTAGGTACGTAAGTTTATCCAAAAATCACAAAAAAAATGTAGTATGTTTTTATTAATCCAAGCAGGCTTAAAAATAATAGAATACACAAGTACGCAACACGTAATAGTAGGTACCAAGTTATTTCCATATCAACTAAATAATAGGTATAATAGTTATGTAGGTACGTATCGAAGTGATCTTCATAGCAATGTCTTGTAGCCTGGGCAGAGGGTGGAGTTTTATCATGTCTTGCAACGGAATACCATTTTTTACGAAGTTTTGGGTCTTTCGGCACGTAAAAAAATAGTTTTTCTGGCGTTTTAATAGAAGTGTTTGTACATTTCGGCACTTTACAATATTTATACATAGTTAAAAAGGTTTAGACGCATCAAAGTCACAATTAACCACACAAAACACTGCGCGCCGTGTCGCTGTCATCGGCAACTGGCGGCGACCGTCACATTGACGTCACACAGCCATCACGCCAGGCAGTCAGTGAACTTCGCCAGTAATTTGGTTTGGTCATAATTTCGTCAATTTATGTCGTACGGCAAACATTTTTACACTATATGTTAAAGATTTCTTAGCTCAATAAATATGCATTCTCAACTAAAAACCTTACGGATCCTCAAGCGAACTGTATTACTATACATTTCTGAGTGAAATTTCGCTCCCGTGCCGCAGTAAAAACGTAAATCGTTGATTCCGCCCTTGATCTCTCTCTGGTCGTATCGGACTACGAAACTGATGAAGTAGAGAGTGCACCTATGTTTGTGCACTAACTCGTGCTTTATAATCCTGTCCCGAACAGAAGGCTAGTATCGTTGGAATTGTTTTGCGGAGAAAGAGTAGTCTGATAAAATTGTTAAGAAGATATGTTTTAGCAATAGTGGAAACTATTTTTTCATTGGAAAAAGGCTATAATTAAAACGAGTAGCTACCGAAATTATTAATAAAAATAATTTCATAAGTTAAAGTTAACTTATTCTCTAAATGAAAGTTAATATAATCAAGATCAAAAAATTGTCTGCATTGTTGGTAATAATTAAATTAAACATTAACTTTCTTTTGTATTCTAGATGCACCTTTACAACAAGAGAACAGTGTCTAGAATGGTGGCGGCGGCTGACAACCGCCCTAGCTCCACTCACGTCCTTGAAAGACACATTCGCTGCCGCATATGCCGCGTGGGCGAAAGAACAACCGCCTTCCTCTGTGCATAGGGCTCTCCTGAGGGCCTCGCACTCCCCCGCAGAGACATTGGTTTGGCCCTGAAGTGAGTAAACACTTTGTAATTTATGCGTTCCTGGTAGGTCTTTGTTATAACAGACGAGGGATTTCATGCCTACAGTGGGACTTTCCGTATGGTATCGCGGTCATTATAATGAATGAATTCATTAATTCGGAGATTATGGAAATATGTATAATTCAAATCCAGAAGTTAGTTAACAGTATTTTAAATATATATATATATATATATATATATATATATATTATACTTTTAATTATATATATATATATAAATAAAACTCTCAAAATTTCCCATTTTATGCAAAATACCTTAGACAGGCGGCTTGGTGAAGGATGACAGAAATGAAATCAACGTTAAGTCCCGTGACCTAACGTATGTCATTCCTATTTAGGTTTACCAGATCGGAAAACCAAAATATCTGGAAAATTTTGAATATGCCGGGATTTTTAGGTTGTTGTCGGGCAAAATAAATAAAAAAAATTTTTGACAGGTTATAAAGAGTACTTTAAACAAAACTAATATAACTTTGTTTGTCACATGTAGTTTGCATTGGACTTTACTGGAGTCCACCAATTGGGATCCTTTAGTTGTATTCAGAAAAGATTTAAAATTCAAACAATTTACTTCAAAGTGTTAGTGTACTACTAGCAAATCTAGAATATTTAACATTTAAAACATTGCTCTTTGCTCTTAAACAGTTAGTCTAATTACTAACTCAGCTTTTATTAAATCAAAGGCCTTACGTTAAATTCGCATTGATAATTTTGATCTCCATTATCCGTACGTAGGAATTTAGGTTTGCTGGTTTGGTCTACAGCTAGGTGTATTTCCCTTTTTGTTATACATTACTGTTGTTAAATATGATATACTCGTATGAATTTTATACATCTCAGATTTACTTCTTTGTTGCGTTTAAAATTGTATATAGAAAAACATGTTTCATTAAAATAGGAAGTAACCTGTTTATTTCCTGCATGTGTCTTGGCCTTGTACCTTCTTGCTTAGGCCATAAACAATTCAAATGATACAGTTACAAAATAATAAAAAAGGTTGTCCATAAGAAGTATCTAATCCTATACCTTTAAAGCAACCTTTAAAGTAATTCTTGTATATATATAATCGGAATCTCGGAAACGCCTCTCAACGATTTTCATAAAATTTAGTGTTCAGGGGGTTTTGGGGGCAATAAATCGATCTAGCTAAGATTCTAGGAAAATGTCGTTTTATCTGTGTTTTCAGGCAATGAAAAACTGCTACAATATCGTTAGAATAAGAAGGTAAATTTTGAGTTAATTAATGATTGTAAATAGCTCAATTGGTATAACGGGCGGTCACAAATTTTAATACCCTGGTTCGAGTCCTGTCTTCAGACCGACTTTTTTTAATTTTTTTTCAAGTTCCCTTCTTTTTTGAGAAAATCTATTATTTCGAGCCCTTTTTTATCAGTATGTAATTTGTATCTAAATATAATTTCCAAAACACACGAATTAAAAAAAATACCGAACAAAGCCTCGGTCAACCAGGTACTTAATATAATTATGTGTTAAGCAAATATTGAAACAATCTTATTTTTCGCCATGTAGTGGTGACGTAAGAGAATTCACTGCCCGATATCATCTCAAAGGTGTCGTTAGAGGCGACAGAGGGAATCTGAAACAGAATATGGGCAGCGGAATCTTCCAGAAAATAATTAAAATGACAAAATAGTAAGAAACTCCGCATGCCTAGCGAAGCTACTGTGTTAAATATGCTCTCTATATAACTACGAGGAAGGTGGCGTTTAAGCAGTGAACTTTAATAATAATAAGATATTACTGAAAATTAATTATTTGTTTCGGTCTATTTCGACTACATAACTTCTGAATATTATCGACAGTTATCGAGTGACTACAGAACCATCTCTCTTACTAAACTACCTGCATATAATTATACAAATTTATCTGACGCTATCGTAATACGATCTGAACATGGAAATAACCACAATACCCACACTATAAAATTACAATTGGTTATTTGTCATATGAATTGTTGTTTTTTTTTTCGATTCGAAATCGAACATAGAACCTGCAAGCAAATCAGCATTGCATCAGAATTGTATTTTCGGCGTCAAATATACTTGCTGACTTCGTTTGTCGGAAATGAGGCGTAATGTAATTTTTGTTTATTCCTAAATTTAATATGTGTACACCGGTTTCTGGCAAATAAATCCATTTTCTTTCCTTCTTTGAAGCCTGCAACGCAATAGCATTAAAATACTGACTACTAAACCATGTTATATATCGCTATTAGCAGTATACACGTACTCTAGAAATAACAACATATCATCGACCCATTGTATGATCCATCATATTAATTTATCCACAGGTTGAGAGGCTTGGCTTCACGACGAAAGGAGCATGGCGCGTCTCAGCCGCCAACGCCGAGTTCAAGCTCTGCCCGTCCTACCCACCGCTGCTCGTTGTACCAGCCTCCATTGGCGACGAAATTCTCGACTCCGTAGCAAGGTCACTAGCATTGCAGTGTCATTAAATAACTTTAACAATAATTCAAATATAATGATTTCTTATATTTACGCGAACATTGCACATGATTAAAACTACTTTTACGGATTTTATCGCGTTTATTTTTTCTTACTTTTTATTTTTATTTTTAATTCCCAAAAAGTCCCAAAGTCTGCAGTTTGTGATCATGTCCTAGACGGCCCCAACCATTACATCAGATTTGATAGACCACAAATCCTCGCGAAAGAACACCGATTCCTACCAAGGATGATACGTGAGGCTATTGAAATTAAAAAACATCCTAATTTCAATAGAGAAGGAGGCTGGGTACTACCACCTGCTTGGGATCCTATAATCAATAAAATTAAAACTAAACCCAAGCATACCACTGCAAGACCTCAGGACATAGTCAGTTCATTTTGCATAGATCGGACCATAAACAATAATTAAAAAAAGCTGAAGGTACTCCGGGTTTAACAATGACATCGGGACGTCAGTCATCTCAGTCCCCCGTGACCATGGGTGCTGGAAAGCGCCCGAAACGTCGGGAATTAAAAATAAAAATAAAAAGTAAGAAAAAATAAACGCGATAAAATCCGTAAAAGTAGTTTTAATCATGAATAATTCAAATAATTTAAAAAAAGACAGGCTTTACCGCCGAGCAACGTAGTAGTAAATCCGCCTTTAAAATTGTTAATAGATCAATGGTGCAGGCGGAAATCGAAACCCTTTCATTTAATTTACGGCTTGCGCTTAGTAACTCAAGGGGGAGTTACTATGCTTTTAAACAATTTGTAACCAGAAATTTTGTTCTTAGTTTTCGAGCGATGCGTCGCTTACCGGCCGTGGTTTGGCGACATCGCGGCAACGGTGCCGTTATCGCTCGCTCTTCACAGCCCGAAGTAGGGTGGTTGGGTTGGCGCTCGTCTGAAGACGAACACCTGCTCGCTGCCTTCGTGGCCGCCTGCAACGCGGACCGCGGCACACTGCCACCGACTACTAACAAGGTATGTTCGCTTAGTACTTTGTGACATTTAATGAAACAAAGATGTTCAATTGAATCTAATTGACTAAAACCGCTGCTAAGACTTTTGGATACTAAAAAATACTGGAAAAAAATTCCATTAATACGTGAATTATGCAGACCCATAAGCAAAAATGAAATACCTCGTTAATCTTAACTAGCCCTAATTATAATTTATGTGACCCTAGTACAATCTTTATTAGTTTCAGTAAACTTTTCCTCTAAAATGTCATCTTCACCTATTTACCCTTCTTTAAGTGGACCTTGCCCTGACTGAAAACCAAAGGATGCTGAAACTTAGTTTCCAAAGACTCGCATTATAGAAATGCTTATATCACGCTGGTATTTTGTGAGAACGTGGCTTTACCTCGGTCGAGCTGACTCATTCCTGTTGCAGCCATATAGCTGTAGCGTGGGTCTACGTGACTACGTTGTATAAAGAGTTTGAGATGGTCCGCAGCAACTGAAGATGCTGATCGTGGACGCGCGCTCGTACGCGTCTGCGGTGACGAATCGCGCGCGCGGCGGTGGCTGCGAGAGTGAGCATTACTATCCGGCCGCAGACATACAGTTCATGAGCTTGCCCAACATACACCACGTGCGCCGCAGCTTCCAGCAGTTGCGTGCCCTCGTCGCCGAGCCCGAAGATCAGGCCAAGTGAGTGACACTTGTAATAAAATTGTCTACTAATGCATTTTTATTAGCCTTTATAATAATATCAATACTTTATGTAAAGACGAAAGACTTAGTGTAAAGACTTTATGTATACTACTAGCAGTGGCGAAGCTTCTATAAAAGCCGAAAAGCCGGGCTTGCCTTATTAAAACTGAATCAATCAATAATATCAACTAATAAAATAACTCATAAACTGTTTCAAATTATTTCAATTTTCCCGCGCACTCCACTGTTCGACACATGTCGACCGATGACCTCGTATTGCCTTAGCGATAATCACAGAGTACCTTTGTATAAAGCGATACTGCTGCTGTCATAAAAAGTGAGTTTTAATAGAGCGATTAGTTGTCTCCCTCGCTCGCGTGGGCTTTTTACGGGGCTTTCGAGAAGACGATCGCTCTCTTTCTAACCTATGACAAAATATTCTATAATTAAATATAACTACGAAATGTTTATATAGCAATTACTATTGAGCCACAAGCCTGGCTTTGCCATGAAGTTGTTTAGGAGTGCATTAGCGACTAGCGAATGGGTTGCGGGCCATTCGTATGCAAGTTCACTTCACATTTCAATATTTATGTTTGTTTTTGTTGTGTTTGTTAAAAATTTATGCTTTCTCAAAGATTTTCAGTGAAAATGGGAGGATAATAGTGTTCATTGTGATGAATATAAGTGTGTTGAAGTGCTAATCGGCGAGGAAAAGGTAAGATGTTTAAAAATGAAATTTAATATTCAATAAACATTTCTTTATACTTTAAATATAGGTACAGGACTCTTTAGTATTAAAGATTAATTAAGTTAGGCGTATTTAAAGGTTTAGTAACTCAATATTTATATTACCATACGAATTAAAAATATCAATTTGAACACCAGTATAAAATATGAGACACCTAGGTTTAATTTTAGAGGAAATAAGTGTTGAAATCTTTTTTTAACGTGAAGCCCAAATTTTTATGAAATAAATCAAAAGAATACAGAAGAATGTATTGAGGTTTTTAAAGAATACTCCCTTTAGTTATTTCCAGTATATAAAATTTTAATAGCGCCATCTACTTAATTCTATAGTTAAAGTCATTTTATCGAACGAAAATTGGTTGATTCTCACGATGGTACCTAAAGATTACGCTAGATGGTACAAATACGCTATCGGCTAATTTATATTACCATAATATGAGTTTAAAAATATCATTTTGTACAGTTTATTATAAATTGAAAATGAAAGTTAGTTAAAAAGTTAAGTTTCATGTATTGTATTGTTTGTAAATATCTCAAGCAAACACAAACGGCTCTTTTCAAAACCACTGAAGGTGTGCAATTGCATATTATGTTATACAATCTATCTAGCGGTAGTATGCCTTCTGTGTGCTTTGTTAAACACGTCCTTGACAGCACTGAATATGAAACTAAAGAGTGGAGACAGCTCAAGATTGGTGTATTTTTATTAAACTGCTAAAAACAACAAAACCGTATCTTGGGCTTGCCGTAGTTTGGAGCCCTAGCTTCGCCACTGACTACTAGACGGGCTCTGCGGCCTTGATACATTGCACATTAAGTAACGGTCAATTACTTAGTGTGCAATGTATCAAGTCTGTAACTCCATTAGTCGAGTAGGAGCGGGCGAGAAGAGTAGTGTCTCCTTTGTTTTGTAAACTGCGAACGTTGTTTTCGACAATCTAACACTGATGTCGTTTAATGTGTAACTGAGACATCACTGTCACCACATCTGTGTGCACTTTCTCCACGAGCTTTGAATGTTATAAATATGTAACATTATTTCGTATTTGCCTATAAAACACCAACTAACATAAATCAAAATACAACTGCATGGCATATTTACCGCGCACTATCTGTCAGCGCTTGTTTCAGTAAGGTCCACATTTGTGACACAGCTTTTGTTCTGATATTGTTTGTCTAGTAGTATAAATAGAATGCTTTGATAACAGCACATAATGAAGCAGCGTGTGTATGTGTTGGCAGCTGGCACAGCAGCTTGGAGCGGTCGCTGTGGCTACAATACGTGTCGGGCGTGCTACGCGCGGCGGGCGTGGTAGCGCGCGCCGTGCAGGCGGGCCGGCCCGTGCTCGTGCACTGCTCCGACGGCTGGGATCGCACGCCGCAGATCGTGGCCGCCGCGCAGCTCGCGCTCGACCCGCACTACCGCACCGTGGAGGTATGTGCAGTGCGTACAGTACGTGCAGGCGGGCCGGCCCGTGCTCGTGCACTGCTCCGACGGCTGGGATCGCACGTCGTAGATCGTGGCCGCCGCGCAGCTCGCGCTCGACCCGCACTACCGCTCCGTGGAGGTACGTACAGTGCGTACAGTACGTGCAGGCGGGCCGGCCCGTGCTCGTGCACTGCTCCGACGGCTGGGATCGCACGCCGCAGATCGTGGCCGCCGCGCAGCTTGCGCTCAACCTACACTACCGCACCGTGGTGGTACGTACAGTGCGTGGAAGCGGGCCGGCCCGTGCTCGTGCACTGCTCCGACGGCTGGGACCGCACGCCGCTGATCGTGACCGCCGCGCAGCTCGCGCTCGACCGGCAATACACGTACAGTACGTACGTACGTGTCTACGTACTTCGTGGCTACGTCGCCGAATTGACCGCTGTACTTTGAATTCCCGCCAAGTGATCCTCATCCTCCTATTACACGTACTTTGTAGAGAAGACCAGACGCGGCCAACTACATATGTAAAGTTAAAAAGTAAAGTTACAGCCTATATACGTCCCACTGCTGGGCACAGGCCTCCCCTCATTTCTGAGAGGGTTTTAGGGCAAGGAAGTGTCCGCCGCGCTGCCCTAATGCGTGTTGGCGAACTTCACATGTCTTCGAAATAATTTTTTTTCTTATTCCTCAGACATGCAGGTTTCCTCACGATGTTTTCCTTCACCGCTGAGCACGTGGTAAATCAGCACTTAAAATTGCAATTAACAATTTCATTGGTGCCGGCGGGGATCGAACCCGGGTTACTCGCGTTCTCTTATATTTACAGCGAGCGTTAACCATCTGAGCTACCACGGCTCTACTTATGCGTGTACTCATAAGTATAGTATAAGTATATAAGTAGTATATACTTGTTCACTCCAAGGATGCCGTTACCTCCCACCGCGCTCATTAACTCCGCGCCTCAAGCGTCACCCTATTAGTACCGATAACAGCGCCTTCGTAATGTTTTACGTATTAAAATATTTTAAATGTAAAATAAAACTATAAAAATTTAATTATAATCTTTAATTTTAATTTAATGTACAAAAATACATCATTAATTTCTAGTTCTTTCATCAGGGCTTTCGCGTACTGATTGAACGAGAGTGGCTTGACTTCGGACACAAGTTTGCAGAACGCTGCGGTCACCATTTTGGACGGGAAGATTCCAACGAGCGCTCACCAATATTCTTACAATGGCTGGATGTTGTGCACCAGATGATGCTTCAATATCCATGCAGTTTTGAATTCAATGAAGCTTATTTGGTACGTTTTAGCAGATTTCCAAAATAGAAGATTTACAATTCGACAATTTTTTTTGCGTTTTATATACGATATGTCCGTCAATTAGGGATCCACGACTTTTTCTGCCATCAATTATTTTTGCTGTTTGAGTTCGGTTTTGAATTTTGATTTAGTTTAATTATTATAGTGATGTGGCAAATCATGTTGAATAAGTGTGCATATAAAAATAACAGCGTTTTAGTCAAATTAAATCATTGGCCGAAAACAATAATGTATAAAATAGATGTCAAAAACGTTCGCGGAAAAAGCGAAGAATTAGTTAGTTCTTCTTGGCCGCTTGCGGTCATCGCAATGTACCAAGACCGCAGAGCCGGTCTAGTAGTGTAAATAGAGGTCTGACTTACACTAAAATATATTGAATTGAAGTTAGTGTAGACAGACACATAAAAGTGCAAAAATATTTTACTAAGGCTGCAGAGCCCGCCTAGTAGTAGTGAGTATTTGGCAGCAAGTGTAGTAGTTGTGAAATGCATGCTTCTCACAGGTGAAGCTGGCGACGCACGTGCACTCGTGCATGTTCGGCACGTTCCTGTGCAACTCGGCGCGGGAGCGCGGCGAGGTGCGCGCGGAGACCGTGGCGCACGTGTGGCAGCTGCTGCGCGCGCCCGCCTATCGCAACCACCTCTACTCGCCGCACCAGCACCAGGTACCAACGCACGTGCACATACACATGTACAGACGCACCAGCACGTGCACGCGCACTCGCACGCATGCGTACACATGCACAAAGATATTCATAAATTGGTTAGAACAACACTTCTAACCAGATGATAATTAAATTAAAGATTTTTAATTTTCAGATTTTAATATATTTCGTTGCATTGAAAATATATTTCCTTATTTAAAACCTTATGGGGGCATCCGCGACTGTTTCTGCCACTAGGGCGGTGCGGCGCTACCTAAAAACGATGTATAATATTTGATATATTTTTCTAGTGGGTATGTTAATTGACTGGAGACATGTTAATTAACTGGAGACATGTAAAGGTTAATGTTTCTTCCTGCACTATAATTTATTTTTTATATTAGATTAAAAATAAATATACCAAACCACAGATATTCATAAAAAATGAAAAATAAAAAAAATATATTAAAAATGTGCAAAAAGTTAAAGAGCAAACTACTGAGCCATTGTATTCTAGAAACTAATAAAATTTTATTTAAAACTAATTTCTCAATTAGATAACATTGCGTAACATAAAACTTTCCCTCAGTGTCAACTAGCGCGACATTTGGCGAGGGGAAGATTATTATCCCTCATTGAGTGAGCGTGCAGAGTGTTGATGTGAGCGGTGTTGTCCAGGTGCTTTGGGCGGAGTGCAGCGTGCGCGCGATGCAGCCGTGGTGGAGCATGCTGTGCGGCGAGCGCGAGCGCCACGACCCGCACGCACACAGCGACGCGCCATCCGCGCCCGCGCCGACACAGCACAGCGGTACTACACATACACACACGCACCTATACACATTCACCTATAGGACTATGGAGTGTAGATGTAAGGAGTACCAACTCCCATAGGAGAATAGTTGAAAAAGTGTCCATCTGTAAGTAGTAAATAACAGTTCGAAAACTCTCCACTACAGCGCTCGAGTAGCTACGGGGTATGTTAAATCGCCGTAAAATACTTTTAGAGTGACTTTGAAAATAAAAATTTTGAAAGCAATAAAATAATTATTGTAAAAGGAATTAGTTATTGTAAAAGGAAAATAATTATTGTAAAAGGAATTAGTTCTTTAAAATTAAGACTGTAGCTACAGTTTCGCCACCCTTATTTACGCTTTCCTACGGACACTTTTTTATACAGAGTCTGTACTCCTTACCTCTACACTCCATATATAAGACCTTGCATACTATGCATACGCCAAACAATACTTGCGTCCGCCGCACACATACATTCACACGTATTAATGTCACGCTCATAGAAACTAACTATGATTATCATAAGCGTATTACAATACGCATTACACCGTTATATCGTAGTAACATTTGTATATACATAACTTCAAATTAATTAAAATCTTAGGCGGAAAATACATTTGTGAAATTGTACAGGAGATACTTTAAACTTATTTAACTTACACTTTTTAGGACTGATGACAAAAACAAGATCCTGTGATAATCTACTGAGTGACGGAGAAAAACGAACCACGCAGAGGCGGTGCAGCGATCCCAGTATCGCAACAGACGTAATGTAAGTCAACATTTTGCACCAATTTGTTACAGTACAATAATTTTATACATCATATTACAAATTGATACAATTTACGAGGGTGGATTGAAAAGTACTCGGCCTAACACAGATCCATTCAATTCTAAAAATCAAATCTACCCACATTATTTAGTTCAGTTCAGACTAGTTCATTGTGTGAAGTTCGAAACGTGTGCGATAATTAGTTGTGATTTTATAAATTTATTAACAAAGTAATCGGACATAATTTCCGCGAATGGAGCAAATCGAGCAGCGTGCCGTCATTAAGTACCTCCATAAGAAGGGGCTATCATCAAAAGCCATCCATGATGACATGGTCAGTACATTAGGCGATTGTGCTTTGTCATATCATCCGTCAAAAAATGGATAGCAGAATTTAAGCGTGGTAGAGAGAGTGTGAAAGATGAACCCCGCTCTGGAAGGCCTTCGACGTCAACTACTGACGAAAATATTAAAAAAGTACTTGATTTAATAATGGGAGACCGCAGATTAAAAATTAGAGAGATAACCGAGATTATAGGCATCTCTTATGAACGAACTCAAAACATCATTGTCAACGAGTTGGGTTTCCACAAGGTGTCTGCGAGGTGGGTTCCGCGACTGCTTTCAGTTGAACAAAAAAGGACGCGATTGACTATTTCACGCGACTGTTTGGAGTTATTTGAAGCCGATGCAGATGATTTTTTGAATCGTTTTGTTACTATGGACGAAACATGGGTTCATTACTGTACACCGGAAACAAAACAACAATCAAAACAGTGGAGAAGACCTGGTTCACCACCCCCTAAAAAAGGCTAAGTCGATTTTGTCGGCAAATAAGGTGATGGCTTCAGTATTCTGGGACTCGAAAGGTGTGATTATGATTGATTATCTTGAAAGGGGTCAGACTATAAACTCTGATTACTACTGCACCTTACTACGTCGTTTACGAGAGGAAATAAAAGAAAAACGTCGAGGAATGCTCAGAAGAAAAGTCCTGTTTCATCAAGATAACGCCCGTGTTCACACGTCAGTACAGTCAATGGCTGAAATTCACAACTGTGGCTTTGAACTGTTACCGCATCCGCCGTATTCACCTGATCTGGCACCATCAGACTTCTTTCTGTTACCTAACCTAAAAAAGCACTTGGGAGGTCAAAGATTTTCGACAAACGACGAGGTCAAAGCAGCTGTAGACGCATATTTTGACTCTAAGGAAGAATCATTTTTTTTCAACGGTCTAAATGCTTGGAAGGGGAGGTGGCAAAAGTGTATTGAACTTGATGGTGATTATGTAGAAAAATAAAAATATAACTGATTTAGTATGTGTTTATTTTCTTGGTTAGGCCGAGTACTTTTCAATCCACCCTCGTATATAAAATTGTAAGTACAAGAACCCAAAAAACTTCTATTTAAGACGTACCTTTTCGACGATTATGACACTGTGTCTCTACAGAATATAGGTGATAAACGAGCACACAGCCCACCTGATGCTAATTGGATGCTGTAGCCTAAAGACATCTTTATTAACCTCGATTAGGAATCGCAATGCAGATGTGTCGTCACCCCTGTGAACTAAGATGGAGTGTCTCGTTTCCAGTAAAAAGGGTCTCCGGTTCTCCACATGAACTATACGAAACATAGCAGCAATAAGCTACTATGTTACCCTGGTATTCCATGATAGCGTGGTCTTATATCTGTCGAGCTGACCCATTTTTGTTACAACCATAATATACTGCTTAATTGGTCTGGTAGTTGTAAACGCGACTGGTGGTCATGAGGTCGCGGGTTCAAATTTTGGGACAATATAAAAAAAAACTGTTATTGAGCCCGGAGTAAAGTAGATGGTGGTGTCTCACCCCTTTGCCTTGGAAAGTACGTAAAGTCGTTGGTTCTGCGTTCGATCTCTGTCCATTTGTGTCGATTTACCATCCCATCGGACTATGAGAGTGAGGGAATAATTAGTGCACGTGTACTTGAGCATACAGTCGGGAACTGTAATCCTTGTCCCGGACCGACAAGTTTCCCATAAAGCCGGCCGCCGTGACCGAAGTCCTGCCTGGTGGACATTATGATATAGCTGCAGCGTCGCGCTAGGCGCTATCAAGTATGAGATGATTAGCTGTGATTGGTATGTGGCGCTTGTGGCAGGAAGCTGTCGTCGCTGGTGGCGCGCGAGGGGTGCGGGGGGCGCGTGACGCGCGGCGCGCTCTCCGACAGCTGCGTGGACGAGCTGGCGCCGCCCGCCGGCCCCGCCGTACTCGCCGCACAGGTTTGCCTCATTTTATTTTTCAACTAAAAACTTTTGTACATCGTTGTCACTTGAAATTGGATAAAACGAAAAAGCGACACTAACAAGATAATCATAATCTATAGGATTTAGCCTGCGATAGAGTGAGACAGAATATTATATTAAATTAGTCGTATATATGTTATACATGGACGTTAGCTGGTGCTGACATCTATTTTACGTATACCACCTTCATAGTCAATCAATTTTTGTTCTATTACAAAGCAATTTTACTCGAAAGCAAAAATATTCTTATAATTTATTAGATACACTAAAATTTTATTTCTATATTTCTAAAAATAAGAATTATAACATTTATTTACTATAAAATTGAACTGCCACGAAATCATTTTATTTTATTTTATATTTAATTCATTTAATTTGAAGGGTTTACCATGTGTTTAATAATTACACACACGTTTTTAATTTATTTTATTATTTCTTTTTAATTTACGCTGCATTTTTTTGCGTAGGACTGGACTTAAAGCTGAATACGCGACTGTATTTTAAAATCATTTGGGTTTTTAGTCGACTTCATATAAAGAAGCGGTTCTGAACTCGACAATTTTTTTTGTATCTACGTTGGCCAAATTTTTATCAATTATGAACCGATTTCAATTTATTCTTTTATTAATTTGGTTATAGTTCAGGGGTTGTCTAATATAAACTTTTAGGAATAAATCATATTCTTATAAGGTGATAGATATCTTATTCTTGGAATTTACTAAAATAAACTATGTTGTGTTGCTCTGTAAACAAAGAAATGACATTTAAAGTTCATTTTTTAGTATCTTGATTCCCTTTGTAACAATTCTGTATTATTAATAAAATAAAATTACAATTTGTTACATTCAGCGTATCATTGCTCAACAGACAATACCACCATCATTCTTTCACATGTCCTATCTCCGCAGTTACAGATAAAAATACAGATAACAATTAAAGAAATACATTTTCTTTATATTCTAATGATAGAAATATGGAGAATAAAGTTTTGAATGCTTATGATATTCTTCAGGCTATTCAAAAAGTTCAAAAATCAAATGTTTAATAATAACATAAAATTGTATTTAAAGAAATAAAAAAAATTACATTGTACGTCAGGGATTTAATTTTTCTAAACAATACACTTCTTATGCTCGAAGCTATGTATTAATCTGGAAATTATTTTATTATTAATTTATAGTTTACCGAGTCAACTATTAATTGAAAGTTTAATCTTTTCCTTGTCTACCATAGGTACAAATTTTAATTTAAGATATTTTTATTGAATGAATGAGCTTTATGAAGAATGAGCCTGAATGACCGAGCTTTGCTCGGTATTTTTTTTTTTTTTTGAAAATCGTGTTTGTAAATTATATTTAGATACAAATTACAAACTGATGAAATATGATTAAAACTTTTCGTCTACTCGATCATTATTTCTCGTGTTTTAAAAAAAATATATTAAAAAAGGGCTCCAAGTAATATATTTTCTCACAAAAGAAGGAAAAAAGAGTCAGACCGGAGACATTTGGACTCGAACCGGCGTTCTATGATTTTAGCACCGCCCGATATCTCATTTGAGCTGTTATAATCTTTTAGCAACTGGCAAAATTTACTTTCGTATTCTAATGATATTGTAGCAGTTTTTCGTTTCCTAAAAACATGGATAAAACGACATTTTCTAAAAATAAGTCCTAGCTAGATCGATTTATTGCCCACGAAACCCCCTGAATACTAAATTTCATGAAAATCTTTGGAGCCGTTTACAAGATTCCGATTTTATATATATACAAGAATTGCTCGTTTAAAGGTATGAGATTTTCACAGACATAATAATAATAAGTTCATTAATCAAAAGTTACGTTAGATTTTTTTTGAATAGAATATAATTATTATTTTTGAATAATTAACTTTAATAACTTTATAAAACAATCAGGACGCCAAATCGAGTTGGATTTGAGGCGCTATTAAACTTAAATCACTGCTGTAAGTGTTTTTCTCGTCATGGGTTCGTACTAGTGACGGGTCATCGACTTCCTTTTAATATGGTCGATTTGAGAGATGGCTGCAACATGCTTTTGAATAGGTGCCGCTAGAGGGAGCTGCAGATCTGCTTGGGTTCGCTATGTACTGATATTGTACTGAAAATGTGATTTTGACTTTTTCAGGTGGAGGGGCTGCACCCGGAGCATTTCAGCAAGCCGGCGGTGGCCAGCGCATCTTCATCTCTGGAGCGCGAGCTGGGCAGCGCCGTGGACTGCGCGGACGGTGCGGACGGTACCGACGGCACCGACTGCACCGACTCCTCGCCGCGCGCCTCGCACACCCCCTACACTATGCAGGTGCGCTCACTGTTGTGTTTACAATTATGCATACATACATTTCTATGCGTCGTGTAAAATATGTTTGTAATGAATCAGTCACCGAGTACTTTTTGTATAGAATCAGTTTGCAATAAACACTCCTCAGAGCAAGACGTTATTATATTTACAAAATTTATAGTCAGTGCAAAGTGAACCCTAAATACCTCTCTAAATACACTCACTACCCTCCCGTCCTCCGACTCTATCAACGTCTATTAGAACGAATTAAACCTAACATTTTGGATTTTTATAACGCTGCGATTTTCTCACTTATTAGGTTTAATTTACATTGCGGAATGGAATGGAACGGAAGCGTCTATTTCGCCGCGACGCGTGACATTCCCGCGACTTCGCCCTGGGACTATAAGTCAGTCTGCCTTGGGGCTGTAGAAAAGTTAGTTTATATTCTACGCACTTCGCGCCACTTCCCGCGAATTCCACAGACTTCGCTAACAGTAGCTGCAGGAATCCTTGGGAATTCCCCGGAAGAAGCGCGACTTTTCTTTTGGCTCATATCTAGTTCGCGAGTTACGTAATTAACGTAGGACTCCTTTTCATCATCATTACAGCCCTTCACAAGTCCACTGCTGAACATAGGCCTCCCCCAAGTAATGCCACAAAGCACGGTCCTGGGCCACCTGCATCCATCGACTCCCTGCGTGTCTTACCAGGTCGTCACTCCATCTAGTGGGGGGTCGCCCTACACTTCGCCTACCGATACGAGGTTGCCACTCGAGAACCTTTTTCCCCCATCGGTTGTTAGTTCTTCGAGCTATATGGCCGGCCCATTGCCACTTCAGCTTACTAATCCGTTGGGCTATGTCGGTCACTCTAGTTCTATTGCGGATATCCTCATTTCTAAGTTTATCACGCAGAGAAACCCCGAGCATAGCCCTCCATAGCTCGCTGAGCGACTTTGACCGTCCTCATAGGGAGGACTCCTTTTTCCATGTACAATTTCGTTACAAAAATTCGCTTGTATTCCGTTCGGCAGCAGTGTAAATTGAGCCTTAGGCCCAGTTTACATTGTGAGAAGTAACAAGTGCGAATGGCAAGTGCAACTGACAAATGACAAGTGTCAATGCATGTGAGCAGGCAGTGACACTAAATAAATTAAATACGCACTTATCACTACTCATTTGCCACACACACTTGTTACTTCTCAAAATGTAAACCGGGCCTTAGTAGTTGTGTGCTCCTAGTACTAGATGGTCAGACTGTTTTTCTGCTTAGGAGACCGTCCGGCCGGCTACCAACATCTTAACGATTATTTCTACCGCTAAATAGCAATGATTGCACTACTGTGTTTCAATCTAAGTATAGAGAGCTATTATAGTTACAGGCTGTAAAGAATTCTATCATACTCACTACAGGTGACAACACATATGTTAGAAGCTGGCCACAGGTGTCTGTGGACTGCATTGGTCACTATCCATTAGGTGGACAGAAAGTTGGTTTGTCACTTAAATTTTATAAAAAAGTAGTTACAAAAAGAAATATTCTAAAATCAATTTTTTTATAGTATAAGGGTGACAAACGAGCACACAGTCCACCTGATGGTAAGTGGTTGCTGTGGCCCATAGACATCTTCATCTATTCTCGATAACGAATCAAATGGCAGATGCGTTTACACCCGTGAGGTTGATTGATGGAATGCCTCGTTAATTACTTTTCGGAAATTATTAAGTGAAAATTTATTGGGAGAAGCATTTTATTTTATTGATCCCAATAAGATTCTGTGTAAATTTATCAAGATAGTTAATATGATAAATTAGAATTGGACAGTTAATGCCATCATTAATAAATTAACGATTACAAGAAGCAGTCAATGCATAACTGTAAAGATTTTTTCTTCTGTCGCGCCCCAGAGCATTATAATAATCTTTTAAGACAGCTACGTGGTGCAGTGGCTTAGCAATGAGTTGCGGGTTCCAACCCCGCACGGAACCAGTATTTGTAAGGCCTAATAATAATTTTTCCGGATTTCAATGATGTTTTTTGTGTAATTTATGTATGTAAACTACCCCCACGATACAGGAGAAAGTCCTAGTATGGAGGTTACGTTTCTTTTAAATAAAAAAGATTTTTATTTGGTTTGTGTATTTTGCAGAACGGAGTGGCTAGCGATATTTCTTCTACCAGCTTGCCTCGAGTTGAGACTTCACCGAAAGGGGAAACACCCGAAGAACCTCCAGTGTTCGTGTGCGAGCCATATACAGACGTGATCTCCGTGCCAGAAGTGAGTATCAACGTACCTCTCTTGTTAGAGGTCTGAGCTTGATTGTGAACGTGGTCTCTCTTAAATAGGGCAAATAAAAAGATTTATAACAACTCACATAAAAGAACATTATACATACTATGATGTTTTATTACGTGATATCGTGGAAGACTTCAAGACACACTTGAAGTCTTCCAGTAAGCTCATTCTGCGTAGATCGGACCAAAATTAATAATTTTCAATTAATTCAATGGTTTTTTTCTATACAAGTTCTCAAGTGGCTGCCGATTCGCGTTCGCAGGAATACTCACATTATTTCTGCTTTATACAGCGTACTGTTCAATCCCTCCACTCCATGGGACCTGAAAGACCGCTTTGAATTCATTTCCTCCCCTCACAATCGTCATTTACGTTCCAGTAACAATTTTTCGCTTCATATTCCAGCACATTTATCCTCTTCCTTCTATAAATCATATTCGGTTACAGCTGTACGCTTGTGGAACTCCTTGCCTTTATATATTTGACGTGATCAGTCTCTTTTTTCCTTCAAAAATCTACCAATCATAATTCTCGTCCTCAATTGTATCTATCCTAGATATCCTCAACAATCATCATATTGAGTGTATTTATAGCGAAGTGCTTGATATGGCTCATAAACATCCACATCTATCCTCCTCGATTAAGAATCAAAATGCAGATACGTCGTCACCACTGAGGGCTAAAATAAAATGCGTTACCAGTAAAAAGGGTCTCAGGTTCTCGTCACTCACCTTACGAACCTGCATCTTTGTGCTGCTATTTCACGCTGGTTAATTGTGCGAGCATGGTGAAGGACTACCAGTGCTACTACTGCAGCCATAATAAAGCTTCAGCTATCATGAGATAATGTCCTAAAATATTTTACAGGCGCCAAAGGAAATCGGACGCACACGCAACATAAGCATAACATGGCGATCGATTTCTGAGTCGAGCAACCAGTCGTCGACGGGCTTCGACATCTCCGGCACTCCTCCCGCCATGCGCGCTGTCGACCGGCCCGTCGACCAACAGATCGAAAGATCCGTCGAGCGGGAGATCGACACAATAGACAACCACAACTGCACGGAAAGCGACATAGTGAACCATAACGTGGACAGTGACGTCACGAGCCGAAACGATAGCGTGCTCAGCAACGGCACCGTCAACGGGCTCAGCGATATCACGGCCAAGTTTTTACAAGCCGAATTGAATGGTGAGCAATTTATTTACGCATATTATAGACGTTTCACAGTGTAGTGACAGCAGTATGAAAATACACTATCCCATATCGTCCCGTGGGTGACATACGAGGCAACAGAAGGAGACAAATCAGGAGATGTCTACACTATTTTATGTTTTCCTAGTAGTTCTAACAACTAATTTATCGCAAAGATACAAGAAAATGTTGAATTAATTTTCTTAAAATGTACAATTGTGAGCCGTGTAGGGGCAGTGTAAAAATATCTTCGACCCATATCATCTCATGTGTGTTGTAAGATGCGACAGAGGGAAATAAACCAGGAGATGAGCAGCAGCATTCCAGTTATAACAACTAAACATTAAAAACTGTGGTTACCATCACTCTTGCCAAGCATGACAATTATCCCTTTGAAGTGATCTATGGTGGAGGACTATGTTAAGCGGTGAAGTTTAACAGTGGTAGAGCCACGCGGCAGCTTTGCTGTTGCACGTATGGGCCGGCTCAAACCGGGGTGGTACCACGACCTCACAGAATACTGGCGTGAAGTAGAAGCTCTGCTTCCGCGTTTCGTCTGGTGAGTGCAGGTGGCCGGAGGCCCAAATCCCCCCCCCCCCCCAATCAACATGGTAGCGGAATTAAATAATGATCGACTACCCCAGGAGGGTACCAGCACCCCTGGAGAATCCCTCGCTAAGCATCCACGACCATGTTTCTCCACTTCTGAGCGTGGGTGCTCAGGCTGCCCCGCGTATTCTGGGGGGGGGGGGGGGCAAAATTCCGCTCAAGACTACAACTGCTCGGGGCAAACGGAGCAACAAGACCAAGGCGACCCCTGCCACGCTGTCCGTGAATTTCTGCAATATCAGGGGACTTCACTCTAACCTAAACGCCGTCCACTACCATCTCGAGACGGCGAGGCCGGCTCTGCTCTTTCTGACCGAGACGCAGGTGTCCTCTCCGGCTGATGTCTCGTATCTCTCCTACCCGGGGTACAAACTGGAACACTCCTTTGTGCCTCGGGCTGGAGTTTGCGTTTACGTCAGAGAGGACATCTGCTCTCGACGCCTCGGCAGACTTGAAGGTTCGGACCTGTCTATAGGTCCCATAGCGGTAATGCCGAAACAGACAGACTATTCGACCACGTCCAAATGGCTGCAGATTCGTTGCTACAGCAGATCCCCTCCGCAGAGATCGTGATCCTCGGCGACTTTAACGCCCATCACGCCGAATGGCTTGGTTCACGTTTAACCGATCATGCGGGGAGATCTGTTCATGATTTTGCCTTGGCATACGGTCTGACACAACTGGTTACTTCGCCTACGCGGATTCCAGATGTGGAGGATCATGCACCTTCCCTGTTGGACCTTCTGCTGACCTCTCACCCGGACGGATATCAGATTTCCGTCGACGCCCCTTTAGGCTCCTCGGACCATTGTCTGGTCCGGAGTGTGGTGCCACTCACGCTGAAATCGCGGTTGCATTCTGCAGGCTGCCGCCGTGTTTGGCACTATAGGTCAGCCGATTGGGATGGGATGCGGTCTTTCTTTGCATCCTACCCTTGGGGGCGGGTTTGCTTCTCGCCGGATGATCCCAACGTTGTTGCGGATTCTGTTGCTGATGTGGTACTCAGGGTATGGAACTTTTTATTCCTTCCTCTGTGGTGCCCATTGGAGGCAAGTCTCAGCCATGGTTTGGTCGCTCCTGTAAAATAGCATCATGCTATAAGCAGGAGTGCTACCAAGCCTGGGCTGATGCATCAGCGTCCCGGGATATAAACACCAGCGCTCTAAAAAAGAAGTATAATTCCGCCTCTAGGTCCTTCAAAAGAGTCATTGCCAAGGCAAAGTCAGAGCACATAGGCAGAATTGGCGAGAAACTAGTTCGCCTTCCTTCTGGAACCCGTGCATTCTGGTCTCTCGCCAAGGCTGTCCAGGGGAATTTCTGTCAGCCATCTCTTCCATCTCTGCACAGGGAGGACGACTCACTGGCCCATACCGCAAAGGAGAAAGCCGATCTTCTAGGCTCTTTCTTTGCGTCTAACTCGACTCTCGATGACGGGGGGAGTACTCCGCCGACCATCCCGCGGTGTGAGTGCTCCATGCCGGAAGTGCACTTCACACAGCGCTCGGTTCGCAAAGCACTCCTCTCCCTGGACATCCACAAGTCGAGTGGGCCTGACGGAATCCCCCCCAATTGTGCTGAGGACGTGTGCTCCAGAGTTGGCACCGGTTTTAACGCGTCTTTTCCGGTACTCCTACTCCCTAGGCGTAGTCCCAAAATCATGGAAGACGGCTTACGTCCACCCGATCCCTAAAAAAGGCGACCGCTCTGACCCGTCCAACTACCGGCCAATCGCCATCACCTCCTTGTTCTCCAAAACAATGGAGTCCATTGTAAACTGCCAGCTCATGAGGTACCTTGAAGATCACCAGCTGATTAGTGACCGCCAATACAGTTTCGCCGTGGTCGGTCAGCTGGTGATCTCCTGGTCTACCTAACTCACAGATGGGCGGAGGCAGTAGAGTTCAAGGGGGAGGCATTGGCCGTTAGTTTGGACATTGCGAAGGCCTTCGATCGGGTTTGGCACAAAGCGCTTCTTTCGAAGCTCCCTTCCTATGGGCTTCCCGAGAAATTGTGCGATTGGATCACCAGCTTTCTTGCAGATCGGAGCATCAAGGTCGTTGTAGACGGTGCAAGCTCCGATTGCAAGCCTATTAATGCTGGTGTTCCACAGGGCTGCGTGCTATCGCCAACGCTGTTTCTTCTGCATATCAATGACATGTTGCATACCCGTAACATTCATTGCTATGCGGATGACAGCAATGGTGATGCTCTTTACACCGGCCGAGCCAATATTTCTCGGGAAAACGTCTCCGAGTGCCGGGACAAACTTGTGTCTGAAGTCGAGTCTCTGCTGGACAGAGTCTCGGATTGGGGGCGACTAAATCTAGTCCAGTTTAACCCCCAGAAGACACAAGTTTGCGCGTTAACCGCTAAAAAGAACCCCTTTGTCGTATCCCCTCAGTTTCAAGGCACTCCCCTTGTTGCCTCAGCCAGTATCGGAATCCTCGGCGTCGACATATCGAGTGACGTGCAGTTTCGTGGTCACTTGGAAGGGAAGGCCAAATTGGCCTCTAAAAAGCTTGGCGTGCTCAGCAGAGCGGGACAGTATTTCATGCCGGCACACCGCCTGCAACTTTACAAGGCGCAGGTTGGGCCGCACATGGAATACTGTTCCCATCTCTGGGCTGGGGCTCCCCAGTACCAGCTTCTTCCACTTGACCGCATCCAGCGCAGAGCGGCTCGAATCGTCGACGACCGAGTGCTTTCCGATCGGCTAGATTCACTGGCGCTGCGAAGAGATGTTGCATCTCTTTGCGTATTTTATCGCATCTATCACGGGGAGTGCTCTGAGGAATTGTTAGGATTGTTCCCAGCCGCCAAATTTCGTGAACGCATTACACGTCAAACGTCCCGATACCTTCCACACCATCTGGATGCTTGGCGGTCCACCACTGTACGTTTCACAAGGAGTTTTCTTCCACGTACAACCTCTCTGTGGAATAGTTTACCACCGGCGATTTTTCCGGACCGATACGAACTGGGGACCTTCAAGAAAAGAGCTTACTCCTTTCTAAAAGGGCCGGCAACGCACCCGCAATTCTCCTGGTGTTGCGGTTGATCATGGGCGGCGGTAGTCACTTAACATCAGGTGAACCGGATGCTCGTTTGCCCCTTCTTCTATAAAAAGAAAAAAAAGTTTTAATGAGATGTTCAGATGATGGATAATTTTACTCTAGTCCTGACCATAATATGTGTTGGTTTGTTTTTATAAAACGATCTTATTTTTCTTTATTAATTGTAGATGTCCCCTGCTGGGCATAGAACTCTTCTGTTAGCCATTTGCTACAGCCTATATTCGTCTACTGCTGAGTACAAACTTCCTCTCACTTCAAATGAAGTGTCCACCACACTGCCAAAATCTTTAATTTTTTTAATCTGCAGGTTCGTGATGTTTTCTTTCAAGGTTGAACACGTGGTAAATAAACATTTAAAATTGCAATTTACAATTCATTGTGGCCGGTGTAGATTGCACTTGCGGTGATTTCTTGCATACTGCGAAATGTTGTGAGTACTAAACCCCTGAACTACCACGGGTTCCACGGAATAAGAATTTGTATGACGTAGAAATAATTGTTCCGAGTCTAGATGTTTGTCCTTGTGATATTTATGTGTGTCAACTGTCACCATGATACAGAAGAAAATCCTAGTGTGGAGATAACGTTTTTTAAGAAGAAAAAATTAAATATAGATTAGGTTTATAAGCGATCACACAGCAGGATACTACATCTATCCTCCATTAAAAATTCAAATGCATGCCTTGTCATCCCTGAGGACTAAGATGAAATGCCTCGTTTCCATTATAAAAGGGTTTCCGGTTCTCTTTACTTATCACACGAAACATAGCAGCATTAAGCTGCTAATATACGCTGGCATTCTGTGAGAGCGTGGTCCTACCCTGGTCGAGCCGACTCATTCGTGCTACAGCCATAATATAGCTGCAGTATGGCTCTACCACGTGTCATTACATCACACGTGTGTGACATAACGTCGTGAGTGATGAGTGGTAATGAACGTTTGTGCGTGGTGCAGGCGGCGCGTCGTCCAGCGGCGCGAGCTCAGAGAGCGAGGGCGAGGGCTCGGGGTCGGCGCGCGGCGCCGCCAGTCAGCTCACGCTGCGCCCCGCTTCGCCGCGCCGCGCGCGCTGCACCCGCTGCATCTGCGCGCGCGACCACGGTACGCACATACACGCCTACACCTCCAGCTCACTGCTGCCACCCGGGTACTTGAGTTGTGTTATTTAAGTATTACATTCATTTTTGTAGTCTCGCACATTACGCGCACACCTCACAGATACACTCCTTCACTGCTACCGTTACTTGAGTTGTGTTATTTAAGTATTACTTATTGTAATTTGTATCGCACATTACACGCGCACACCTCACATATACACCTGCTCACTTCTGCCACCCGGGTAATTAGTGGTTGATCGCACGATACGCACTCACATGTCATACGCGCACTCACCTCACAGGTATACCTCCAGCTCACTGCTGTCGCCCGGGTTATTACCCAATGTTGGAAAATTGTCAGTCAGAACTCTGAATGGTACTATAGTTGTATTATTCAAAGGTTTTCAAGCTGTGCGGGAGAGTAAACCCAAGACCGGGCTTCGGGGAATCATGCTGCATCACGATAACGCCTCTTCATATACCTCCCTTAGAACAAAATCATTTATTGAGGAATCTGGTGTTGAAACTCCACCCTACAGCCCTGACTTAGCTCCTTGTGATTGATTTCTTTTTGTTCCCAAGAGCCAAAAAAAATTAAAGGAAGGTTTTTTTCAAGCGCCTTTTTCAAAGTTTAAGGAGATATCATCGCGTCACTGCCCCTAAACTTATACATACTAAGCAATAAGAGCACGGAACGATGTCCTGTTCAAAGACCTAATAGTGCTAGAAGGCATTTTGATATACATAATAACAAACTTAACAGATGTTATAACTAAATAATTTTGAAGTGAAAAGCACAATAACAAACTGGGCTGAAAAATTTTGATTATGAAGGTACGGAGACCCTTCTTTCTTTGGACATATAAACGACACATGCTAATACAGACATACGCACATATACCCACACACACACACACACACACACACACACACACACACGCACGCACGCACGCACGCACGCACGCGCAGCCACGCACGCGCGCGCGCGCAATATTTGCAACAGTGTCAACATTACATTTATTTTATTTTGTCGTCCCCCTTTTTTAGTGTCATAAATTTTACGTTTTATATTAATACATCGATAAAAAAATTGTAGTAATAGAACTAAGAATAGGGAAGAAAATTAGCCCCCGAAAAACAGGTAATATATCCTATAATAGTTTAGGGGCTAATGACTACTGTAAATTTTGTGCATGTAATATGTTTATGAATAAATATTATTATTATTTTTTTAAAAAAATATTTGAAATGCTTACAAAGAACGTCGCCTTATTGTAGAGTCGGACGGCAGCGAGACGTGTTGGTGTGGGGGCGGGGAGGCGGACGGCGCGCTACTGCGTGTGCGCTGCGTGTGCGGCGCAGGCGCACGCCCGCACCACGACTCGCCTGACGGCCTGCCGCCCGCCGCCGACCCGCTGCAGGACCGCTTGCACCAGATCATACTCTACCACAAGGTGACCACCCGTACGCTTATGTTGTCCTAGTCGTGACGCGCAACAGCTCGAGGTAGATCATAATTATTTTTTATCACTATTATGTCAGTCACTATTCCTTCCAGTAAAAAGGTGATGATGTAGCCGAAGATGTAAAAGACACAGCTTAACAAAAGTATTGCTTACTCGTGAATAGACGGCCCGCAAACTTATGCTGCCCTAGTCTTAGCTCTTAGGGGGTGACAATGCATCAATTGCATTTCGATTCTTAATCGAGGATAGGTGTATCTATGAGATACAGCATTAATTTAGCCTCAGGTGGATTGCGTGCTCGTTTGTCACCATTATTATATATCTCGTTTACATAAGCATCATTAAGAGGAGTATTACAAAAAAACGTGAAATTGCAAGGTTTCTTAGTTGTAATTATATGTTTTCCATTCGTTGCTTGAAATAACAATTACTTGGTACAAATAGTTCGTTTTCTCTACTACAATAAGCTCAAGGCAATATTTAGGCCAAAAATCTGAGACATGATTTGGGAGTCCTAATTTGTAAATTCTATTGAATATCTACCATCAAAAAAAAAATATTTTTATCTCACAAATTTCCTATACTTTAATAATGATAAAATACATTTTCGTTATATGCCTTTCACATAAGGAAAAAGAATGGACATGATTCAAATAACGACCGAAAAGCTTCGATACAAGCCCTAATATCTCCAAAGTTCTACATCATTGTGACGTAAAATTTATACCAAAATAGTCATTAACATTTACTTAAACTATACTATGGTTTTTACTTTTTAAATAGTTACTATTATCGGCCATGTGAATTCACTAACGCGCGAGCGGTTTTTGAGGTTGGCCTGTGTCATTTGATTTCGTGCGCTCCGTCTCGTTTAGATATTATTCGTAGTGTGCGTCGACTGCCGTTATAGGCGCTGCTATTTTTGCCTGTGTTCCGAAATGAAACTGCGATCGCAGTTTTTGATCGTTGGAAGAATTTACTTTCGTAGAGTATATTTCAATTAGTATAAAGTTCTATATATAAGTGTATTATTATACCAGATAGTTAATTCATTATAGTTATTTTGATTGTAGCTGAGCTTTCTTACCAGTCGGAATGGGAAAAAATTGTAGTATCAACGTGTCACTAAACGTAAAAAAAGAAATATCCTATCTATACCACATGTAACAAAAACCCTGTAGTTCCCGTTAAATCCGTTATCAGAATCAGTACCCAAGCAAATATAAATTTTTTTTTCAAAAAAATTTTTTTTAAATATTAGTTTTAATGAAAAAAATTAATTTCAAAATTGTAAGTGGTTTTATTATCTCTGCATTGGCCGAGAACTAAGAGGATTCTCGCATTACCGATACTCGTGTGAGTTAGAGGAAATAAAACCACATACAATTTGCAAATAATTTTTTTTTCATTAAAAATAATTTTTTAAATGTTTTTTTTTTAATTATTTATATATGCTTGGATACTGATTCTGATAACGCAGTTAACGGGAACCACAGGGTTTTTGTTACATGTTGTATATATTCTGTGATAATTCAGGTAGTTCCTGTCATTTAGATCCTTTATCTTATTTACGAAATATTCTCTATTTAGGCATTAATGAAAACCTTGCAGTTGTAGAAATAAGTCAGAATGATATACTCAAAAAGTTGAAAAAAAGGTCTTGATATTACCAAAGATGCGGGACCGGACAATGTCCCACCGGTATTCATAAAAAACAGCGCAACTAGCCTAACTTTGCCTTCATATCTTATCTTTAAAGCCTCACTGTGTTCGGGTATGGAAACAAGCAAAAATAGTTCCAATATTCAAGAGTGATGTTGAGAAAGATGTACGCAACTATAGGCCCATATCGATTCTTTCGGTTTTTGCAAAGGCGTTCGAAACGTTAGTTTGTCCAATAATTCAAATGCATTTCAAACGTTTCATTTCTGAGCATCAACATGAGTTTTGCCAGGTAGGTCTACCACCACTAATTTGGTTAGTTTCACTTCCTCATTATCAGAAGCTGGAGACTCGCAGAAACAGGTGGACACCAAATATACTGATTTTAAAAAGGCATTTGACAAAGTACAACACGAAATACTTATTAAAAAATTATCGTATTATGGGTTTTCAGGCCCGGTGCTAAAATGTCTTTCATCATACTTACATGCCCGTTCTTTTTATGTAGTCGTTAATGGTTTTAACTCGGCAAACAATTTGGTAACGTCAGGTATACCTCAGGGTTCGCATCTTGGCCCGATTTTGTTTAATATATTTGTGAACGACATTGTTTCTTGTTTTAAACATTCCACACCATACTTATACGCCGACGATTTCAAAATAGCGAGAACTATTTGTTCACCAAGTGATTCGATTTTATTACAAAACGTCTTAAATAAGCTAACCAATTGGTGTGAATTTAATGGCATGCAATTTAACTGCAGTAAATGTCTGCATATTAAATTGACTAGAAAAAATAATATTATCCCAACAAGATATAAATTGTACGATAATAGTCTCAAGGAAGTTGAGCTTGTAAAAGACTTGGGTGTTATACTTGACAGAAAATTGACTTACCTTTAACACATAGAAAGTGTAATAAACCAAGCTTCAAAATTATTAGGTTTTATTATGCGACAAGGTCGAACTTTCAAGGAAGCTGAAACAAAAATCTGCCTTCATAACAGCCTTGTCCGCAGTCACTTAGAGTACTGTAGCGTTGGTTGGCGTCCGCATTATTCTACACACTACTTAAGACTAGAGCGTGTACAGAAAAGCTTTATGTGGCATCTATCGTACTCAGCGAAGATTTACAAAATGGTGGTATCCTATAAAAAAGACTAAAATACTTTAACATCATGACTCTTGATCGAAGAAGACTTACTAGATTTAATGTTTTATATAAATTACTAAGAAATACAGTGGATGTTCAAATTATTATACTCTAACCATGAAATAAGATTGTTTTAAGTTTTTTAAGTTTAAATTTCTTTAATTAATAAATTTAATCTGTTTACTGGTATTATTTTTTCACTAATACTATTTCTGAGAAATAACTTCTTGAAGTCGACGAGGCATGCTGTCTATGCAATTTTTTGATATTGTTTTTAATTCTGGGGTGTTAAACCAAGCTTTGATTATCTTCTCAATCAGTTCTTATTTGTTATGACTTTTTCTTTAGCTATTTCCTTTTTTAATGCAGCCCACACATTTTCTATGGGGCTTAGATCTGGAGAGTTACCAGGCCATTCCAACACCTTTATCTGATGGTCATTTAGGAATTTTGTCACTTTTTTTGCTTTATGACATGGGACTGAGTCATGCATAAACAGGAAAGCCTTATTAGGAAACCATTCTGATGTCTGTGGGATCAGCTTTTCTGACAAAACTTTAATGTACTGATCCTGCCGCGTGGTGTTTTCCACTATGTAGAGGCGCCCGTTACCCTTTGCACTGATAACTCCCCAGATCATTATGGATAGTGGATGCTTCACTCTCTCTACAATACAGTCTTCTTTGAATTTCTCATTTGGTCTCCTACGAACAAACTGTGTATGGTCTTGCAAGATCTGGATACTCGACTCATCAGAGAAGCAAACCTAGGCAGGCAGGAGTCAATTTCGGCTTCTTCAATGGTCGACGGCAGGAAAAGTTTTGTTCCTTCCATACGTAACGTCATGTCGGACAGAGTCACTCCAGCCTCTTCGAGAATATCTCTGATGACTTTTCTGGGTTTATTCCGATTTTCTATGGTTATTTGCCGAATTTTTCGCTCATCTCGAGGCGTAGTGATGCGTTTGCGTCCACATTGAGAATACAAATGTCCGCATGCTTGCCATATGGAATGGCCCAGATTATGCAGTAAAAGTACTAAAAATCTACAAAGATGACAAATTTTGGATTTTGAATATGTTAGCCAAGTTACAAGCGTTTTATAAAAAGTGTGTACTGCCTGAAATTATTGACTCGAGATAAGCTCAGTCAATGCCGTTGCGGAAAATATATTTATAATATAAAAATATGGTAATTGACTGTAAGTATCGATTAAATAAATATCGATTTCAAAAAACATTAATTACAGTTGGTTATTTTATTTATTAAAACAGGTTGCAATCGTACTATTTATTTATACTACTATGCTACCGTTAGTAGATATAACCGATTATTAACCAACATCGGTTAACAATCGATTACTGCGAAACAATTAAAATATTTATGTGTACTTATTTCAACACTAAGGTTCATGAATAATGAAAAATATATCAAATAGATTATAATAAATTAATAAGATAACATAGAAATGGCACACCAAAAATTTTCCATCCACTGAACTCCATCCTAAGAAAACTTGTATAATGGAAGATCAAGATCGTTTAGTCGCTATACACTTGCGAGCGAGCGAATGAATAGATATAAAATAAAGTACCGTTCGCGTAGGTCGTCGCCCGCTCGGAGCGCAAAATACCTAAGTTTGCGTAACGTCGAAATGTAAGAGGGCTCTTATTTAAAATATTTGTTATAATTTTACATTCATTTTATACTTCGACAAAATGACCCGACGAGTCGACTTACAAAATTTAAAGAAAGCTAGACGCGAAGCAAACAGTTATGTAATATTTACACTTGTCATAGATTTGCTATAATGAGCTTTATATGATATAATGATATTTATCTCCATAATATAAGAGAAATCCTCAAACAACGTGTGTTCATCGTGTTTAACGTGAATCATGACCCTGTGATATTAAGAAGCTTATGTAGCAATTCTCTAAATCTCATATTGTCAGGTCTTGTTATGTAATAAGTGTTCTGTGTGAAAACGAAATGTTAAAATAATTGTCAATTTTTAAACAGTTCTAACCAATTAACAATATAAGGCAAGCATATAATATTAATAAATATTTTTTTTATTACAGAAAGTAGTAGAAGAGTTAAGTGGGCAGTTGCGAGAAGCCCGTGAAGCATTGCGAAGATCATCTCCTTTAAACGCACAGCCCCCTGCCCGCGCCTCACCCTCCGCACCATCGCCAACGCTGGCAAGTAACTTTCAGTGATTATGTTACCTGGTACATTGCGAAACCAAAGCCGATACCATTCATCATTTCGTCAACTTTGGCTTTTCTACTGCACCAGAGCGACGCCACTTTAGAATGGTTTGAAATGTTTGACATATTTCATGGCGCGGTAGTAGTTAAATAATTATGCAAAGATAAATGTTTCTTTTTAAAAATTAGTTATATTTCATAGTAAATAGATAAGAGATGCACAAATTAAACTACAGATATTTATAAGAATTGAAATTATAATTAAAATATGTGCAAAAAATTATAGAGCACACCCCTGAGGAATTATTTTGTATATTTTCCATAGATAATATGAAACCGAATAAACTTTTAGTTAAAATATTATCATTTCAATTTCAATTTTTTAATTATGATGACACTGTGTGAAAAGAAAACTGCCTTAGTCATAGCTATCGGCGTCTGGTGAGCGGAAGTTAATAGCCCTCATTGAATAATAACAATAATTCATATATATTATATATGAATTATTGTTATTATTTTGTTATATTATATTACACACTACGATTTGTGGCATACTTTGAGGGAGGCCTATGTTCAGCAGTGGACTTGTGAAGGGCTGTAATCATGATTATATATATATATATATATATATATATATATATATATATATAATTCTCGAGTGGCAGCCTCGTACCGGTAAGCGTAGTGTAGGGCGACCCCCCACTATATGAGTGACGACCTGGTAAGACATGCAGGAAGTCGATGGATGCAGGTGGCCCAGGCCCGTGCTTTGTGGCATTACTTGGGGGAGGCCTATGTTCAGCAGTGGACTTGTGAAGGGCTGTAATATATATGATGATGATGATGATATATTAATTTATTATCGTTTGTCACTTTCTTCTTCACTATCTTATGTATTCCTAGTAAAACCGGGAGCTAAGTTTATCGCAAAGATAAGGATAACTTTATACAATTGTGGGTTCCATTATTACCCTATGTTATTATTCCGTGAAGGTCGTAAGAGGCGACAGACGAAAACAAACCAGAAGATGGGCAGCGAAGTAAATAAAAACTGCGGTTGGCAACCAACTATGACAATTATGCTTCCCTATTAGTCAATCTATGGGAGAGGCGTAGGCCTATCAAAATACATTGCTAAACAGCAATGTATTTTGATAGGCCGGGCTGGAGTAATATACTAAACATTACGCTTTGTGAATAGATGGCGCAGAGCGTGGTGGTTAGCGCGAGCGCGGGCGGGAGCGGTGGTAGCGTTGGTAGCGCGGGCAGTGGTGGCAGTAGTAGCAGTGGCAGTGCGTCGGAGGTGGAGGTGGGCGAGGAGGTTCGCGCTGCCTGGCTGCCGGACAGCGCAGCGCCGCGCTGCCAGCACTGCCGCAACCACTTCTGGCTGGCGCGTCGGAGGCATCACTGCCGGTCAGTGTCACGAACGCATTATGATTTACTTCAAAAATAACCGAAATGTATCAATGCTATTATGTACAATCAAATGTGGATAAGTAACACCCCTAAGACTAAGAAGAAGGAATGCCTCGTTTCCAGTAAACATTTCTTCGGTTCCCTACACCAGAGATTCCTTAAGTGTGTTTCCGCGGTCTCTAAGAGTTCCGTGAAAAAGTCGCAAGGGGTTTGCGAAATTATTAATATGTTATGAGAAGAACCCATTACACGTAGGTACGTAGATAGCGAGAATTAATTTCAATTGCACTGTTTATGATATGTAATCATTTGATGTGGGGGTTCTTGAAAGATTAGGGAAACTCTTGCTTACCATACGAAACACAATAGCATTAAGCCGCTATTTCTCGTTGGTATTCTGTGAGAGCGTGCAAGGAGCATACTGCAAATATGATACAACTGCAGCGTGGCTCGAGCAGTCGGATAAAGATATTTTGTGTTGCAGACGGTGCGGCGGTATCTTCTGCGGCTCGTGCTCGGAGATGAGCCCGTGGGGTGAGTGCGGCGCTGTGCGCGTGTGCCGGCGCTGTCGCGAGCTGCGGTGACCCGTGCCGCTGCCCGCCCCGCTCGCCGCGCCGCCCGCCCCGCTCGCATCAACGCCACCCGCCCCCGCCCACCTGTCCGCACCACTGCGCGCCTCGCTGCCCGCCACCACGCTACGCTGCTAAAGGTTCCTCGTAAAACAACACAACGCGATTGCCGCAATAAATCATTCACTCTTTGATAGACTGCTAGTCTTATTCTACAGACTGATCAGCTAAAATTTTTTTTAAATAAAAAAGCGACAACTATTTATTAATTTGCGAACATAACTATCATCTCTTTCAAGTGGAAAGTTAAGTCGATCGGATATCTACATATCCTGTGCCTCGTTTGCTACATATTACGCTCACATTAACAATTGAGATGGACGACGAATTCATTAAGGTTAGTTGTCGCCATTATAAATACATTACTACAGTTCCTTGTTTGCTTTAACAATCTACTACCGTGTAAAGTAATAATCCCGCACCGAAATAGAAAATACCTCAGCAAAGAACTGAAAAGAAATCATATCCTACATTAAAATATTGGCAACTCAATATTTATACAAAATTTCAGTACAAAAACCGATAATTAAAAATTATTTTCAATAAATTATTTTGTTGCTAATGGCTAGAAATTTTTTAAAATTTTGCAAAGTGACCTAAAGTGACAAAAACACCACGAAACTATCTGTAAAGCACTTTTTGATCCTTGTGTTTTTATTTGATATGTGATGGATGGAGCGTGAATACGATGCAAAGAGCAATAAATTAGGTGTACATCCATTTTGCTTTCACCATTCGTAAAAACTCTATTTATTCATTTATGTTGTCTATTGTAAAAAGAACCTTTAGTTAGTTAAGAAACAAAAATGGTTCTAATGAAAGACTTAACAATGTATGATAAAGAACTTCCCGCGTAACGTAGTGCCAGTAATTATGTGTACATACAATACCCAGGTCATAACGCCCTAATGTAATAACTAGTCAATCCGCTTCAATTAATACCATCATAATATATGATTGAGTTTGTATATTTAAGTGTGAGGATGTATTTATTTGACAAAAGCTATTCCTATAACCTGTCCCTGTTATCACCATGACGTGGCTCAGTTTAAAAAGGTTTGTTTCTGTGACATGTATTTTAATTTGTACATTGAATTTCAAAAATTTGTTATTATATTTTTGGTATAATCGTATATAGTGTTGCTGTGTGTATAAAGAATGGGTTGAGTGCCTCTGAAAAACAGCCTTTTCATATCTGGTAGTGCAAGAATTTATGAGGGGGGAATATTTAGTGAATAGTCGGTTAGAAATCGACACGAATCGTGTCGATTTCGAATCTTTAGTTAGAGAATGGAATAGTGAATGTTGTCACAGAAAGGCTGATTTCGAATTGTGAAAATTTAATTTAATTACTGAGCTGTATAGTAGAAACTTTTAAAACGAAAGACTTACTGGTCCGCAAAACAACACAGCTGCGTCCTTTGCCAAACTAAGTGTATGCCATTATAGACTGAATTGCTTTTATATACGAACGAAAGTGGCGTGTGCTGTTTTGACATGCGGTATGTCAGGCTGTGTTGCCGTCCCGGTGTTGATTTAAGATAACTTGCATATTGAAATGTTCAAATGTTGGTCCCGACAAGTGCTAAACATAGAAGACGAGACGAGTTCATTTTGTATAAAGCGTGTTTTTCTTTTTATTTTGTATCATAGTGTTACATTTGTTTTTATTATAATTATTATTTTGTACAGTAACGTTTTGTTTCACACTTGGTCAGACTTGAGAAATTGTCAGAGTTAATTATCATTGCGAGTGACATTATAGGTGTTAAATATAGTATGGGCAATATAAATATGTGGGCTCTGAGAATTTCGTATAAGATTTGTATATTGGACACATTTAACGAATGTTGATTAACCACTTTGTAAAAATGAAATGTTACTTTAAGTTTGTCTTGGATGGAAATGTATAATTTATTTAAAGATTAGTTGCAAAGATATCGTGTTTTATGAACTTAGGTTCTCTCCAATCGCAGCCTTTTGTCTAACGCCAAGTTCTGTATTTTATTTGTGATATTGATGATAATTTTATATAATTATTAAGAGTTTAAGAACATGTTGTTAGACGTTAAATTTTACTGGTGATTATTTAATGCCCCCGCGGTGCGCTCGTTGATTTGATTCTTGTTGACTTTAAGGGAATATACGCTGGAAGCAATATTTGTACAACCGAGATGTCGCTATATTTACTCAATATACTATGTCCAAAATGAAGCTGATAAATCAATGATATATAAATAATAGTGTATTATAATTCGTTTGTGATTACTAAGCAAATGTATTTTATAAGTGATGGGTTGGGTTTGAACCAAAAGGAATTAAATATAAATGTACATACATATATTTAATTGGTAAGATTTTTTCAGCTACAAATAAATTTCTAATTATATTGGAAGTATAAATTTATAAATGATTAAACATACACCGTTATCGCAATTATTTTAGTTCTGTCTGTACGTTTCTATGTTCTATATTCTTGCAAACAAAATTGCAGTATAAAATCATGTGTTTAGTAATAATCAACCTACTTGATACCTGGCTTACATCGAATGCTAAGTTCTTGTTGTTTGCTTCAAGTAAAGATATATTCTTTGAAATTAACACGAATCTTTGTACCAGAATTTTCCATTATCAAGAAAATTGCCAATTATACATCATGTAAAATAAACCCAATAGGGACAAAAACCTCTTTGTATATTTCTGATGAAATTAATAAAAGTTTTGCAATAATTTATGTAAACGACTCGCCAGTACCTGCGACGTACAAATTAAAGATTCGTGTTAAGTTCGTGCTGTAGTCAACTGCCTTGTGTATAAATAATTTGGTAATTTGTTCGTGTACTGAGGGGATTGTTGTTAATTGCATATATTTTATAACACAAACGAATCGTTCGGAGTAAGTTCCACTGTCGAAGTGCAAACTTGTTTGTGACCAATAAATATTGACACAATGTGAAATAAAGCATATTTAGTTTTTATGACTCGGATGTTTTATTTAAATCCACTTTTAATTTTAATACAATGTAGGTATTTCATAAAAAGTGTAGCAACAGGTCCGATTTTCGGAAGTAGAAATTTAAATATGTCTTTTGTTCCATGGCGTTAGGTCCCTAAAGCCCTATTGTTTACACTTGTGCGTGCGTACATTCATACTATTGGAAAACCAATCGTTATTAAAATTATCCATCAAATGGTAGTGCGGGCAGATCGAATCGCAGTCCACCTATTTTTACTAATTTATTTAATCTGTTTTACGTACACGTAACAGGTTCTTATCCTTTCCGGTTCCAGGTTGTAACCAAATCATAAGGCTATATAGGTTACCAGTTACCGTAAAAAAATAAATTTTGGTGGGATATTGTTAATGTTTGAAAAAGTATTGTTCTTTTAATAATGCAAATAAATATCTGACCTTCAATTATTTTTTTTTTGCGTTTACGCTTCGCCGTTTTCTATTTTTTAAATAATATCTACTATGTACTTAAAGCAGACACCGTAGAGTAAACTGTTGCGCTACGAGTTGCGGTTCACTGGACACACTCAATCTCTAAAGAACTCTCGTTAGAGAGGAGTATATTCCTTGTTAGCAACTGTGGCATGCACCGTCAATATAGAATTTTATATAAAAAAAATTGGAGATCGACACCCGATCACCCATAAATTGAGTATAAACTGACGTTAGAATATCTATGATTTTACCAGTAAGTAAACGTACCATTCGCTTATTACATAATTGAATAAAACGATGTACCTTAATTTGCGATGAGAAATTTTATCAACGCAAATTACAGATTAATAAAAACTAGAGCCTGCAGATGTGCCACACAGGTATTGTCATCATATCATCACATTTTGAATAAAAATTCTGAATAATATAGGTAATTAATAAATCTTTAAACGTAATAGCAGTCATAGTTGTTTTTTCTTTTTTACAATAGAGGGTGGGTGGATATTAAAAAATGTTTGAGGATTATGCGGTTCACCTGAAATATTTTTTATTTTGACCTTTTATACTATTGCCTTTACAACATTTTAAAAGATCCTTCTGGATTAGAAGTTTGTTACCACAACGATAACAGTTAACAGCCTATAATAGTCATGAAGTTCTAAATTGCTGTTTTATTATTGGCATAAACTTGTATTTGTGAACTTTGAGTACTTTCATGAAGTTAAAATGAAGGTGTATCTTTATTTTTTTGCAAACGTTTATCCTGTTTGGGTCGTTTGGTCTACTGGCCTGTAAATCAAATAAAAACTCACTTATGTATATTTGAACATTTATTTTTATATAATATATTAATGTCTAAAAATTTCTCTACAAGCTATTTTAAATATAAAATAAAAGTTTGTGGCAACTCACACTAATTACGACATATCGCTTTACCCTGCTTATACTTTGTAAGGACTTAAATACTGATATTGGATTCTGAACTGAAAATAATTAAAAACAAACAATACTAACAATAATACTGTAAGATGGTACTGTGACCGTCAATCCTTCTGCCAACAGTCATCACTCTTATAAAACTGAATTGACAACCTATTTACAGCACATCTGATATGTAAAGAGGATAACCTACCCAGGCGGACCACCTAATATTTAGACTAAGGCAAAACCTCCCCATAAAGGTAGAAGGCCTAAGTCAGGAGTGGTCTTATATGGATGGATGGTGAAAAAAACACATGCACTACTTTGTACTACAAGGTTTGTAGGTATCAATATTATTTGTGGACGGGAAATCATCCAGTTATACCAAACAAATATACGACGGACTGGTGATAGTGGGCGACACCACAGTCCAACTACTATTCACAATCGGTCATCGAAGGCGTCTGGTTTAGACTGAGTTGTTCAAAACGACTATAAATCAATAGCACGCTACAGACTATAAACTAGAAATTTCTAGCGCGCTATTAAATACGCTATGTTATAGCGCACTATTTATAAAAAAAGT